GCGCCTTCGCTAAGCGAGGGCAGGGCGCGAAAACGGCTGCCGGCAGCCATTTCCGGGCTTCCGGTGGTCATTTTGGAACCGCCGATCAGCTGTTCGGCGGCTCCAAAATGGCCGCCGCAATACCCGATCTTCGCAATGCGGGTTTTCCCCATTGCGACGATCGGGTATGTTTCCGTATAGCGATCCCGAAAAAGGGATCGCTATACGGAAACATCGCTATATGGTGCACTCGTTAAGCGAGGCACCACTGTAATAGGAACTCTGAAAACAAAATCAACATTAGGATAATCAGTTTGCAATTATTAAATCTGTTCACCATGTGGTCCATAGCTGGAAGTTACAGTGAACCACCTGTTGGATTCTCTTTTAATGTATACTCTGCTACCAATAATCTTCCACAAAGTGTTGAACGATTTCTCAAGAATGCTGATTTAAATAAATTCCCTTCTCACTTCATCTTTTTGAAACTGGTATCTTCAGAATACAAATCAGTTCATCTTCATTAATAATGGATTGTTATGGATTTAAACCCTCAGATGAAAACAGAAAGAGCATATCCTAGGTGGGGTGTGTTTCTTTTAGAAAGAGATACTGTACTTTATGCCTACTTTGTTTAAGAGGTTATTGAAAACAAATATTTTAAAACAATATGTAGTTTTAAAAATGCTTTGCATACATCTTTTGCATTGACATATTTGCCATGTTTCATTAACTCTTCTGATAACAGCATTTTGGACACCGTATTTATATGAGAAGTAATAGAGTTGGATCTAGAGCTAATGCTCAGTTGACCCTGCATTGGAAGCTACCCCTGGAACCCAGATCCTTGTTGGAACCTCCCAATGCAGGAAAGCAGCATTACTTTACCTGGTATTCTAATCAGTCTCCCCAGGCGTGAGGAAGGGAGGCTGGGGTGTGTGGAATGAGTTGTGCATGAGGGAAAGAAATTTTTCCACAGTGTATCCAAAATTCACTAGTTAGCAAACTGCTGAACTACAAGGACTTTGAGATGTTACTGTAACAACCAGGCACTGTGGTGGGACTTGTCCAGAACTTATTTCTAGATGTTTTTACATTAGTTTTGCAAATTGGTAAGCTTTATAGCTTTGCAAAATTGGTAAGCTTTCTTCACAGTTTTCTTAGTTATGCGGCTGAAATCTAAAGTTTTATCTTGAAGTATTAATGATCCAAGTTTTAACTGTGATGTGACCCATGGAGTATTGGCAGGCGGAACTAGCAAAAAAAAAAGATTTTGCTTTATGGTTCATGTCATTATTGTCTAATACCCTGATTCCCTGAAAATAAGACCTAACCTGAAAATAAGCCCTAGTATGATTTTTCAGGAGGCTCGTTATATAAGCCCTACCCAAAAATAAGCCCTAGTTAAGTGGAACCCCACCCTCCACCATTGTGCAGCAACCAGAAGATGACATGACTGTATTTGAATAAACATAAATTGTTGTAAATGAAAAAAATAAAACATCCCCTGAAAATAAGCTCTAAAGCATTTTTGGAGCAAAAATTAATATAAGACCCTGTCTTATTTTCGGGGAAACACGCCAGTGTTAGCCATGGGGTTAGTGTGAACACCATCAGGATATGGGCTTGCATAGTATGTTTGCATAATGTAACATGCCAATGCAGTATATAATTTATGCAAGTTTTAAAAAGCATTATAATATTGCTGGTCTTTTTCTTGAAATGTGTGTGATGATTCATACAATTATCAGATGTTTATGACTTAAGAGATCTTTACGCTCTAAAAGTTGGACTAAGAAATAAATTTCTCACTCTTCATTTTTCTGTAAAGTCTTCATGCTTTTATGAAATATTTATGATTGAACAGCTACCATATCCTGTTGCACAGAACACATATTTTATGACAAAGCCCAACTCATTTTCCTTTCTTGTCTTCTCTACAGGAGCGAAATAGAAACAAACAATAACTATATGGAGGTGATCCTGCTAGAATTACAACACTAATGATGTAGACTTTGGAAATGCCTAATATGTCTAAGAAGACGTTATTAAAGCTTTGTTCCTGCTTAAGGTGACATCTTTGAACACTTTAACACAAAATTGACTCTTCTTGTAATGGTTCTCATCAGTGCATCTGCCCTTATACTCTCTCACCAAACACACTTGAGAACTGTAACTTCGTCAAGCACTTTCTGTCCTGAAGCTTTTACCAGTATCTGCTGTCTTTTGTAATTATGCATCCTAGCTAAGGCACAGGAGATGGAACGAATGCAAGGATTCATTAACTCTTTGAATTTGTTAAATACTAACAATTAACCATCATAAGTGGTTCAATGATGTGAGATTCACATTGCTTCAACTTATTTTTCTTTGATGTAGTTTTTTAATTGTCAGTTTTTAGCTGTTCAGCAGAATTAAAAGCAAAATCATGCCATATTTAGTCCTGGAGTAAAACTCAAGTCTAAATGTTCATGTGAAAATTATTGTAGTAAACTTTAATATGGCAAAGCAACTTTGAGCTACGGTTTAGCCAAATGAATTATAACATGAAATTATATTAGAATGACATTTCCCTTGTTTCAAACTGTTTGGTGTAGAGAATATTAATATATGCAGCTTGGTGGGCCGCACCAGTTAATGCACATTTCCTTTTTTTTTTTCCTGTAACATGTATACTGAAAAAAAAGTGCATTTGTCTGAGGAACTGTTTGTTTGCTACCACTCAATCTCAGTTTTGAGTACATGTACCTCAGTCTAAATCAGACTTTTTATGACCTTTATAACTACACTTAAAATCTTTAATTCCTATTTCTGGGTGTTTGCAAGCCTGAAAAGATTGCTATCATGAAAGTGAAAATTTATTCCTCTAGGTGATTCACTAGCTAAATAAACATAATTCTTGTTTTAGCAAGCATATACTCAGTTTCTCAGATTTTGTTTGTTCCCAGCTCTGAATATAATAGTCTGGTATTCTTTCAATTCAAAATACTTTGGGAAATAAACGTTTATTCATGGTTTCAGTTTGTATGCTCTCATGGCTGTGTTTACATGTTACCTGTTAGTACTATATAATAAAAGCCTAGGTACCATATTCACCTGAATATTTCTATGCTACTTTTTAAACTTTCCGTTTAATATTTTCACTAGCACACCCACATGAATAAATACAGCAGCCATTTTAGCAGCATGAAATACAAAGCAGCTGCACTCTAGTATGCTAAGTCCTGTCTCTTTTTAGAAAACCCATATAGAAAATGATACAAATAATTTTTAAAAAAGCTATTGTGTAAATGAATTCATCTGTCAAACATATACATTTACACCATGTCTGGAATGTTTTACTGACAGTCTCAATTTCTGAAGTTTGGGGGATTTGTGAAAATAATACTGGGGGGAGGGGGCAGTTTTCTGATCTTGACATACCAGATGTTGTCATTACCTTTGAAAACATTTTTTGCACGCTGTATGCATCCTACACATTTACTGCTCTACATAACAGAAATGGAGAGAGGAAGAGAAAGACTCTTCAGCAGAACAGCTTTTGGCTCCAAAGTATTGTCCAGTTAAGGCAAATTATGGCCAAGTGTGTGGAGGATGTCTCTAGAGAGCAAGTAAATATATGCATGTATTTATTTGACCACTGGTCACTCCCTCCCCTGCAGCACATTTTGGAGTAGCAACAGTGGCAAATGTCTTTGCTGCCATAATGAGGAGACTTGAGACTTGTCTGTCTTTCTCTGCCTGTTGACAAGCAAGTTCTGCAATAATCCTGTGACCCAGGATATCCTCCTAGAGATTATAGAATTGCACACTAAATTAAAAGCTGGAAAGACTTTCCTATATTCTTGGATATACTCTTAAGTTCCACTGGGACTTCTTTCTTTTCATCCACAGTTTCAATAAATTATATGTTTCAGTATTTGTAATCATTTTGCAATATTGGTTTTATTTCAAATATACCGTAACCTCTGTTCGGTTGCCCTGTGTGAAAAATGGGTTATTTAAGCTGACAATTTTATTTTGCTCCATTGAGCATATGGAACAGTGATTATTAAGTCAGAACCACAATAAACATAAAATCAGTTGAAAACATATTGGAAGTACAAAAAACATGGTGAAAAGTCAGTTTGTGAAGGATAGTAAAAATAATACATTGCATTTAAATACTAACAAGCAGTTGCAATATATCATAAAAGCAACTGGACATGATTAAAGCTTAAATTACAAAGTTGAGTCAAGTATATTAAGGTAAATCAGTATATTAAAGTAAAAGGAAAAACAAATCATTAGGGGAATGCAGTAAAACCTTGCTCTAGCATGCTCTCCAGCCTTGCTAACTTTAAAGCATTGTGAATTCCCAGTTTAAAAGAAATATATGTATCCTGGTCCAGTGGAGACTTCAGAATCCTTACATGTTTTTAGTTTTAAAAAAAGTTCTACAAAGTGTTCTAAAAGATTCTCCATGCAGAAGTTCAAAAAATATTCAGAAATAATCCTTTAGCATTGATGTGAAGGAAAAAAAACAACAGGGTCCTTCACAATATGTGGCCTCAAAGCTGAATTTAGAAGAAAAGTAGTTGCTCGCAGACGAGCAAACTTCAGGCCCGTCGGCAACTTGTAACTGGAGGAGGAGCACCTTCCACCAAACTTCATCTGAGAGCTACTCCTGTCAAGGCTGCAGGAAAGTTGCATGTAAGGAGAGAGAAGATCTGAGTAGGAATATCTAGAGAGTGACACTGCCAGTCTTTCCATAGTGAGAAAAGGCCTGAACAGCATAGCTAGAATTATTACAACTAAGTAAATAAAGATTCCCAGTACAACTAACCCAACCTGTACTTTGCTCAAGTAAAAATTGGCTCTATTCTGGTGACATCCTAAAATTTCTCTGTATGGTGATTGAATGTCCTGGCGTTCCAATTAAAATTCACCCTGTATTGATTAGAGAACTAATGTTTAGCAATTTATTTTTTTCTTTTTCAATTGCAGCCTTAACTTCCATAATTAAACCTCAGAATCATCCTCCCTGGTACTATATCAGTTATCATAAATCTTGTCATCCAATTTTTAACTGAAACTGTCAGAATTTTTTTTTTTAACTTTAAAGACAAGGTATAGTGTCTTGATGAGAAAAACGGGATAACTGAAAGCAATTTTAAAAATAGGTAAAGATTCAAAATTAACATTTCCTTTCTGTAATATTTTTCCATGTATAAAATGACACTTTTTCCTAAAATAATTGGAGGAAAATTGAGTGTCGTTTTATACATGGAAGGAAGCAGTAGCGTGCGCGTGTGTGCTCAGGCGCCTCTTTCCGCTGCTGCCGCTGCCCAGTTGCCTCTTCCAGAGCTCATGGCTTGTCCCCTCTGGTGGCCATGAGGGAGCAGCAGCAGGAGGCAAAGGAGCATTCACACGCGCTCGGGTGCCTCTTGCTGCTGCCTTTCCCAGCCGCCCGATCACCATCTCCCGTGGGACTGTCGGGGCTAAGCTCGCCTTGTCCCCTCTAGAGGCGGAGGCAAACAAGCACGCTCACACGTGCTTGGGCACCACTTCCTGCTGCCACCACTGGATCACCTCCTCTAGCAATCTTCTTAGGGCAGGGGACACGGCAGCAACTGTGAGCTGGAGGTGAGCCCCGGCAGTCACACTGGAAGAGGTGATCGGGCGGGCAGCGGAGACAGCAGCAGCAGGAGATGGAGGTGGAGGAGCAGTTGCCCATTAACTGCTCCTCCGCCTCCATCAAGGGTCAAAATTAGGGGGTCGTTTTATACATTGGGGGGGTTGTATACATGGTAAAATACGGCCATTTTTTAAATGTTAAAATTGTTGCGTGAGATGAGTATGAAGAAAACCATGAAGTACAACATTAACACATAATTTTTAAAGCTTTGTATTGACAATTTCATATTGTTCAGAGATAACCTATTTCCTACAAAGTTAACTTATTTAAAAGGAGTTTCCAATGCAGGATAATGCAGGTGGCACATTATCCACAAATATTTCTCATTTGTTTCAGTTGAAAACTATATGGTACTCTTACCCTGCCAGATACCATCCAAAGACATATCTGCACTTTGCTTTCTGTGCACTAAGGCCAAAGACATTCCATCATGGGTTTTATGTTCCAGAGTTTCAGCTTGCCAAGAGGTTGACACCTTTGTCAAAATTTTCCTTGTTCACAATCCTCCAACATAGCATTGGGGGAGGGGAACTGACCCTGCACTCATGTCATTCAGAAGGTCTTCCCATAAGAACATGTTCATAGGTTCTTAGAAAGTGAGTCCAAAATAGGATCTGGGCAACAAGTGTAATGCAACCATGAGTTGACAGGGTAAGTAATTTTGGTAAGTGGTTCTTTTGTGACTTTCTGTCACAACAGTACAAACGGGGGGGGGGGTGATTCTGACAGAATCTGCCTGAACACAGTGGCAACCAGTTTATACAACTTCCACATAAGCTGCTTGGCTGTTTTTAGTAAGTGTTTCATATATTAATTGCTTCGTATATAAACCAGATTTTGATATAAAATGCAGAGCTGGTCATAATTTACAAAATGAGTATAATACCAGATAATTCAATTAATTTGTCTCATATGCACACACATATTTGGTAGTTAATGAGCATGATTTCCTGCACTTCTCTGTTTTATTCATCATAAACTGCATGTTTTATTAATCTTTGTAACAGTGTGAATATCTAAATAAATTTGCCTAATTTGTATGTGTTGGATGCACAGAGGGCTTGCCATCTGAATTTCAGTAGTAGGAATAGTGATTTTTCTGTCAAATACGTTTTGGCATGAGTGTGCGCACAAGGCAGCAACTTGCTGTCCCACATTAGTACTGCAGAATGGTGGTGGCTATATGAAAATAAAAAAAAAATCAGTAATGTATTTTTGTCTATTAATGCCTGTTTCTTTGTACTTACCTCAATGAAAGTCAAGGTCCTGTATATAAGCGCCCCATGGTTGAAATCCTATTGGGCATGATTCACCTGCAAATTGAAAGTGCTGTCATAGATGGTGGAAGATTACTTCTGATTAAAAGCATCCTTTTTGTACTTTCAGAGTGCACACAACTTTATCACGTATTGTAAGCCACGTGCATTCTGAAATTGGAAAAGAAAGCCTTTATTCACCAGCAATCTGCCACTCCTGATAACATCACTCCTGATATGCAGGCAGAGCTTCACAATCGGATTTCAGACATAGTTTTGAATTCTATAACGAGAAAATTCTAGAATGTTGGGTTTATTAGCTAACTTTGCATAACTTTATTGTCGGATGTAGGCATGGAGCTATATATACAGTACTTTAAGACAAGTCAACCATGTTCTGTTCTTTGAAACTTTCTGGGAGTTTTGCACTTATTTTCATGAAAGCATGCACGTTTTTACACCCTAACCAAATGTTAATAGACGCAGACTGATTGGATGTGCTTATTTCTAATGCCACAAAGCTCAGTATTCCAGTCTGGGAAACAGATGTGTACAGTCAGTAACCATTGAGATACACACTGCCCATAGTAGTGGCCTTTGCTGGCATGTAATAAATGCAGAGGAAATTCCAGTTGACATAGATGGGGTATTTATAGCTTTGGACATGATGGAATTTAAAAGCATGAGAGTTTTAAGGAACATTACTCATTGATTAAATATAGTTCCAGTGAGAAAGAATACGTCAAAGCAAGGCAACAGCAACTTTCTTAATTTGTCATGTGTTCTGAACAGAACATAAGTAGCTGATCTCTTTAACTTTATTAACTGAAGGAGTTCAGAAGTGAAATCCCCAAAACATCTATTGCCTGTAGTAATTGCACCTGCTTTCCTTCCTGGGGGCTGGTGTACTGGCTATTACACCAACGTACTTTGAAAATTATGCCTTTGGAACGTACACTTATGTTTCTTCCAAGAGAAGACTAGCAGTGATAGGTAAGCTGCTGGATGTCAGATCTTTTGGCAAAACGTGCATATAAATCTGAAAGCAGAACACTAATGGTTTGCTTTCTAATATCTCCAAACATACAAAAGACATTTTATGTGGCTGATTATTTCTGCTAAAGGAGGATAGAATTTCTGTTACTCAACTGATTCACT